CAGTCAGAGAAAGCTGAACAGGATTCGCTCTCAGAAAAATATAAAAGCAACAAATGTCAGTTTTACGGGGTCAAGAAGAGACTCAGTGTCATCACCCAGGAGCAAATGTGTGTCATTCCCTTGATGTGTCCCTGAAATCTTTGTTTATTTAAGAGTCAGCCTCCTCTTCGTCCAGCCTCCAACATCATCTGTCAGTAAGCTTCGCTGGTTGTTGCTCCGTTGTTACATCATCGTACAGATTTATGTTCACTTTACTAAATCACTTGCAGATTTCTCAGGCGCTCGTAGATTCAGAGGACACGCTCGATTTTGTTTGCATGCCAGCAACATCTGGGCATGAATTATGTGGCTGCATATCATGTGTCGCAGAGTCGACACTCTAATAGCAGCCATAAACTGGATTAAAGTCATATATCTGAGCCGATAGCCCTGTATACTAGCCTGTTGTACAGGATGAGTTTTGTGTTTACACCTGTGTATTTACGATGCGTTTCGCAGGAGGAAGATGGAGATCTCTCAGAAAACTGCCGAGGAAGAGGAGCGCTACAAGAAGGAGATGGAAAAGTACACAAATCATTTTCGTTTTCAGCGGCCATAAAGTGCTGCTTCAGTGTTGTTTTAACGTGTATGAAACGTCTCGCTCCTCTGCAGTATTGAGGCCGTGGAGAGGAAACACAACAGAGACTGGGAGGAGGACTGGGGAGCCAAAGACAGGCCCAAAAGCCCGAAGAGTCCAAAGAGTCCGTCACCTGCTCCACCCGAGAGGAAAAACACCCCGACTCCAAAGGCCAAGAGTTCTCGTAAGGACACGCGACGCAGTCTTCTTCCCTAAAACGCATGAATTCTCTGTTTACTTCTGTTCTGAAACCATGAACTCACACCTCATTTACCCCTTTTCTCTGCATGCTCTCTCTCTCTTTCTACCACTGCTGTGTGCTGTGCTGCTTTTTCTTGGCCTCTCCTATAAGTTGATGAAGCCGGCTCCTTCACGGAGGAAGACGAGGATGAGGAGCAGGAAGCAGAAGTGAGTCTGAAGCCTGAGCTGTCAGTGACACGGCTGTAGACGGACGATGCAAACCAGCATACGCAAAGACAAAGTGCCAGATTTCCTTTGACAACCAAAATGTAGCCATGGGAGACTGCTGTTTCAATTATTACTTCAGTCAGTTTAATTTTTTTTATCACTAGAAGTGGCTGGAGGTTGAATATGGAGAAGTCAGTCCAGCTCCTGAACTCTAAAAATGCAATTTGCATCTTTTAATGTGCTGTTCTTCAGAATATCTGAACGGAACCGGTTCAGATTATTCCCTTTTCTCTTTGAGTGCCGTGTTGTGACTCCTTTTGTTGTGTCTTGCTTTGTCGGATGCAGCGTTATTGAATTTTTTTTTATCTTGAGAGTGACCTGTGTTCGTCTCCGTTCTCAGCGTTTGGCTGGTTTTATCGATATGAGGGGAAACTGCCATCAATACGCAAGGTACTGTCGGCCGTGTGAGTTCAGTTTGCTGTGAGAGGTTTGGTTTTGAACAAGTCCTTACATCGTCACGATAAAGTGGCTGTTACAAAATTAAAGGTGTTTTCGAGCTTCTACCCGTCATACGCGGTGTGGTGTCGTTCACTGTTTTTGCACGTCATGGAGTGTCGGTTTGGATTGGCAGATATGTCTGTCCCCTGCTGTTTTTACTTGAACTAACTGATGACGCCTCAGAAAGGAGAAAAGAAGAAGAAAAAGAAGAAGATGTCCAACACGGACACGCTGCAGGAGCAGAGAAAAAGCAAGAAGGAGATGGAGTTTGAGCTGAAACTCGCCAAAGAGAAAGAGGAGATGTACGAACGAGAGAAGCAGCTTAAGATCAACCGGCTGGTTCAGGAGGTATGAAAAGAGGTGGATTAAAGGGAAAATACTGCATTTAAATGGATTTACGACATCATGTTGTTTATATGTGGTGGCTCTTCCAGTTTGCTTTGGTTATTTAACAGCTGAGCACATATGAAGGGCTGTAATCCTCTGCACAAGGTTTCAGAGACGGAGAGGGAAGACCTGGAGGAATCAGCCAAAGTGCAGCACTGGGTGGAGCGTCTTTGTCAGACTCGGTTGGAGCAGATCTCGTGTGTGGAGAACGAATCCCCGGAGGTACAGAGTGAGGCCTCCTCTGTCAAAACCTCTATACCATATAATATTTTACTGTGTCATAAGTATTTTTTTGTTACCTCTGCAAAGAGAAAATAGAGGTCTAAAGGCAGAACACTGTTCAGAAGAAGGAATGCAAACTAAGAGGTAGTCCCCCTGCACAGTGCTTAGTTGGTTGTTTGTCCGTGTAATACATATTTATGCTTAGAAATAATGGGACTGTTTGATATTCAGCAGTGTGCTTGAGTTCATCATTTGCATGAAGCAAAGGGCAAGCAGGTTGCAGACAAAAGGGAAAATTGCTCGATGCTTTTAGGTGTGTTGTCACCCATTTGACTTTCAGATTGCATCATTAATCCAAGAAAAAAGAAAAAAATAGAAGAGCTGTTCAACATTTTGTCGCTGGCGTTAACACGTGAGGTGAATCTTGTCTTGCTCCGTTGTCGCTTTAAGCTCTCCCCGCCGCGCTCTCCTGCCTCTGAGCCGAGGGTGAAGCGTTTCCCCGGCGGCCTCCACCTGGCCACCACCGACCTGGACGACATTAACCTGGACGAGGTGGATCAGAGCCTGAGGGGTCCTCTCAAAAGGCTGGCCCCCACCCAGCCCAGCACCAGCCAC